AGATTCTACTCTCACCGCATTGTCCATTTCAGTCCTTTTTATCACACTGCAGTTCCTCGGTTATTACGAACATCACATATCTGTGCATGTAACACGTAGTCTCCTTGTAACGCCAGTTGCTGCTGTGGTCTTGGAGCGCGCCCCGGCCCGCCCTTCGCTGACAGGAGTCGAGATGTTAATACTTCCACGTTTATTGCCCGGTCTTAAAGTTTCGCTACGCCATTGCTCAGCCGACACCTCACCAGCCTCATTGCGCTTCCGAAGCGCTTCCATCTCTGATCGCAGGTCTTCGATTTGCTTGGTAAGTTCACCCTTACCCATGATCTCCCGGTTCTCCTTCAAGTCCTTTATCTCCCATCTCCGTGCAGCCAAGTCACCCTCCATTTGTTGTTTTGACAGTGCCTCCTGCCTTTTCAACTCAGCATTTTCTCTTTGAAGCCTGTCAACGAGACCCGTCGACGGCAGCGCCTCCTTGATACCATACTTAGCACGTAGATCCTCATTTTCGCAACGTAAGCGAGACACCTCATCATTATCGGTGCTGGTGCTTGCCTTGTCCGCTCGTTTGCCCACGAGTGTCTCACACATACTGGCAAGCCGTCCCTCCAACCTCTGTCCCACTCGTTCCTCAATCTCTTCACGCTCTTTTTTGACCTGAGCGGCCTGTTCCTCTTCCTTGCGTCTTCTCTTCTCTTGTTCTTCAGCCTGCAGTTGGTCTCTTTCTTTCTGTTGAGCCTTGCTGACGAAGTCGTTACACTTGTCCAGAATCTGCTGATTCCTCGACCACCACCCTGTTCGTGGCGCCTGATAAGTTGTAGTTGGTGCCGATGCAGAAGCAGTAGTCGCGACTCCTGCCGCCGGTAATGCCAGAATAGGCTCCGCATTAGCTCCTGTGGCCACCGTATGCCGTTGGTTACTAGCCCTATGTGGACATTCCCTCGACCAGTGGCCATGCTGACCACAGTTGAACCAAGCACCCCTAGGAACCGGGGCCGCCATTCTGTCAGACGACAGTGATCCAAGAGTAGTAGAATAAGAGATAAGTAAGAAAGAGGGCTATCAGAGAAATATCAGAGAAATATCACCCGTTGACTGTCAGGTTCAAGTAAACACAGCCACACTTCCGTAATCTTAATATTACGGCGGTTACACACGCGAATTGCTGGAAGGAGAATTACCATCCAAAGCAAACGTACGAAATACAACAGGCAATAATCCTCACACAGGAACGAGAGAGAGAGAGAGAGAGAGAGAGAGAGAGAGAGAGAGAGAGAGAGAGAGAGAGAGAGAGAGAGAGTCCCGATATCCCCGAAACGTGACCGAAAAGGCCGTAAAATTAAACTGTAAGCACCGCCAAACAGCGATGGATAAGCGTGAACGTCCTGGCGCAGCGACCCTACGCTGCGTTTCATCCGGCCGCCAAACCGGAATCATCAGGGGTCTTCTTCGAATCGCACGGAGAGGGACTAGACGAATAGTGCTAACAAGAATAAGTACTGTCGGAGGGAAAGATTTAGAACTCAGTCGAAAGAACCAGAGAGGACGAAAAGAGGAAAGAAGGGAAGACTTCTAGAACATCCTAGCCTTTAGGCCGAAAAAGAGCCCAGATACAGACACCAAGAAACGGATCTAGACCAAGACCAGAGTAAAGTAAACGTCAAACAAGACTAGACCGAGCACAGACAAGGATAGACAACCCTATTTTACCAACTGGCAACAGCCATCAGAAAACCGTCTAGCCACCGCGTACATAAGACCCAGAAAAGGCGTTCCGGGAAAAAGTGTTCCGAAAAAGGAAAACCAAAAAGTTTTTCGATGTTCCGAAAAAAGGAAAACAACAAAATGTGGAAAAGACAAACAAACAAACAAACAAAGGAGAAAAACAGACACCAACGAAAACGAATACAAGGTGGACAGACGAGAGAGAGAGAGAGAGAGAGAGAGAGAGAGAGAGAGAGAGAGAGAGAGAGAGAGAGAGAGAGAGAGAGAGAGAGAGAGAGAGAGAGAGAGAGAGAGAGAGAGAGAGAGATGAGAATGATGATGTGAGGGCTCATACCTGGTATTGGCGATGGTCTGCATCGGGCGACATCTTCATGTACTTCGGTGGCTGCTGACGTCAACAGTTGCATAGTCAATTAGTAGGCAGATAGTAGCTGTGTGGGGAGTAGTCTGGGCGCCGAGCGCCACGTAGGGGGAAGGGCCTGGACTCTTCTGTCAGTGAAGACGAGCGTAAGCTCTCATTGACATTCGGTTTGAGTGTTACGATTCTCCATTGGTGTATTATTGGTGCAATGCTACTTTCTGGACACTGTGGAACTTTCTAGCTCTCAATGTGATTGTGCAAATCTGGATTCTGTCATCTTGCTATTGCTCATTTTCCTTGCACATGTCTGTTCTTAAATTTGTCCGCATTATCTTCTTCTCTGGCTAGTACACAAACCTCCATTTGAGCTCGGAAGTTCGTAGTCCAAAGTGAGGCCTGATATTGCTCCTGTTTTCAGTCCATCCTGTCATGCTTCAGGCGTTGGCCATGGTGGGTCGTTTGCAACCTCACCAAGGGTCCCATGCAACAAGACTGTTAATGGGCTTAGAACCAGTGCATAAACCTTGTGATGCGAGATCCATCAGCCTGCCCTTGAAGTGTGTAATGTTTGACATCTGCTCAGAATTTGTTGAATTCATAATGAGAATGAAAATGGGACTAAGTCTCTTAGAGAGTTTTGGAGTAGGCATGAGTTACATCAGTGCTCCCTCTATGTGTGTAACGCTGTTTGGAATTTGTGCAGAGTCTTTTGACTTCAAAACGAGCAGAGAAACTGAGACAGAAAAGTTGTTATGAGGTCGGGCTTGATAAGCTGGCATCAAGCTCAGAGCAGATTATTCTAATGCAGGAGGAACTACAGAATCTTAAACCGAGATTGATTACCACTGTAAGGCCCAGCAGCTCTTAGCACTCTTTCGTTATCCACTCACTCCATGGGGGACAGTGTGGTGAAAAATAGAAGGGTGCTCAGTTCTGCCCTGACTCAGCTGATTGCCACGCTGGTAGGAATCCTGTTCAAACATTCACTTGGTCAAAACCTACGAACTGGACATTCAGAAACTACAATATACATGCCCATAGCATTCTGCTATATCAGGTGGGTCTTGATAAGTGAGTTGCATGTCCTTATGTTCCTGCACACCCTGTAAGTTGACCTTGTATCATCCGAAAATTCTGGACTCGTGCATTCATTAGAGGGCCTTCTTCAAATGGTCCTCGGAAATCCTAAATGCCACACTGAAACAAGGAACAAGAAGGAGCTCGCGCTGAAAATGTTTGTTTTGATGTTGGAGCATTGTAACTATCACAACATCGTCTTTTTAATTTACAGGTGGATTTGGGATTGCAGCAATCCTGCAGATGAGCACGGTAGAGTTCTAGGAGTGCACACAATCGTCCGTGTATACAGGATGCACCTCCCTGTGCTTGCACTGCACCTGAACTTTCTGCATATATGGATGAAAAAGTGCATTTGAAATGATTCAGGGTCATTTCTGCAATTTATCTGTTTCATTAATGATGATGATGATGTGAGGGCACATACCTGGTATTGGCGATGGTTCTGCATGGGCGAAATCTTCAAGTACTTCGGAGGTTGCTGACATCAACAGTTGCATTGTCAATTAGTAGGCTAGTAGTAGCTGTGTAGGGAGTAGGCTGGGCGCCGAGCGCCAAGTAGGGAGATAGGGACTGGATACATATGTTGGTGGTGGCGAGAGCAAGCTCTCATTGACATTGGCTTTCAGTGCAACTATTCTCCATTGGTGTCATATTGGTGCAATGCTACTTTCTGAACACTGTGATACGATCTGGCTTTCAATGTGATTGTGCAATCTGATTATTGTCATCTCGCTTCTGTTCATTTTCCTTGCAATTTGGTATCGGAGCTGGTTCTTTCCAATAGCTGTTCGGTGCTTCGCATGAGGTGTGGGGCAGTGATAAGGCTTGGGCGTTGAACGGTAGGCGGCCCAGGGTCGTGTGGGTGCGCCAGGAAGCTATGTGGTGACATTAGGGCTGTACACTGGATGATGAGAGCTCGCTGATGTGGCATTGAAGCCGAGGTGGAACTGCATTCTGCTGTTGGTTGTGCCGAGGCAAAGACCGGTTTTCATAAATGCACATCAGGTTGCCGGTGAAAAATCTGTGGTTGGTGGCAGCATTATGAGGTACGTTGCTTCCTTCCTTATCTACCCTCTTCATTGCTTCTTACCGTGAGGAAGTGAGTCTAGTCTTGAGAGTCCTCTCAATGTGAAGTGTCGCGAGCGCTGAACCTTGAGAGTCGACATTCTTCCTGGGCAGCAAGCTGGTGGGAGAGGGGTTGCCTCTGAATGGCCCTGGACGAAGCACTCAGGTCACGGTCACCATGCCAACCTGCTGGGACTAGTACATGCATGCTTTGCCGCAAGTCCTTGGTTCTGCTGCTGCGCAATAGAGGTCATGCAGGGCATGCCAGCCCTTTGAACAGACGCTTACCAGACCGTCTCTAAATATTTCTGGCGGGGACTCGGTGTTGACTTTGGCTGTGATCGTCGTCCTGTCTGCGACGTTAAATAATTCCTGAGGAGTTACGGGGGATCTCCTTAAATGTCTCCTGATCAGCCAGATCAAACCGGGTGTAAGGCTCGTGGCATGCGAGGATAAATGACGATATAGTCTGAACTTCATGGCGACACGAAGGAGGAAGGCCTCGGTTGAAATGATGTTCGAAGTTTATTTCAATTAACACAATTGTGTCACATAAGTAGCGACCTGCACGATAATGTGGAGGGGCTGGCAGGTTCGGCGTTGACTTGGGGCACAGGGGTGGGCCGGATTGCACACCTTTAGACACGCTGCTCAACCAGATGCCTAGGAACGTCGACACAAAGTGACTACTCGAGAGGGATACTGGGAAAGGGTTGGATTCCGGTAACTGTTCGTGGTGACATTAATCAGATAAACTGCCATCCAGCAGACATCTCTGCAGGGAGCATTATTTTTATTTTTTGATTATTTAGTTGTTACGGACTTGACTAACAAGTGACAGACAACTGCAGATAGAGTAGTATATTCTTCGCTGCATTGCAATCTGTATTAGAGTAATCTAAAAATAAATTTAATATTCCCTGTAGGATCTGACACTGGGTGACACCTAACCATCTAATTGTTTCTGTCTAGAAGGACGACCGAAGTTAGTTGTGCATCATAATCAGTTGTGTGTCATGCTGAGGTAGGATTCAGTGTGGATTCTAGTTTAGATCACACACATTGTAGCTCATGAGTGATGCAAGCACTAGTGAGGAGGAGCTGCTAGTGGATGACCGTAGGACTACTCGTAGAACTGCTCTTAGTCGACCTTCGACTTTCCTAGACTTAGGTCCAGGAGACGAGAGGAGACTGCGGAGAGAGGCTAGAGAGAGAACAACGGCAAAAAGAGCGAGGGTGGCTGAGGCCAGTGCCAGGTCTAGGATTACAGCTAGCATCGGTACGACCATGGCTATTTCCCCTACCATGTCGCGTGCCTCTTCACAGGCCACTTCGTTAGGAGTTAGTCAGAGTGGTTCTTGGGCTTCCATTAGCCAGAGTGTTGGCTTGCAAGTCAGCCAATAGGCTCAACTCACGCTGGAGGATTATGGGATCCTCCAAGCTGAAGAACTTCAGGATGAGTTGCAGCGGCAGTTGGATGAAGCAGTAGAGAGAAGAAGAAGAGCAATAATGAGAAAAGCTAGACTAGGTAGTAGATTGCAGGAACTAGGCAAGCTGGAAGCACTAGATGAGTCCACATTAGATCCCACAATGCAAGCATTGCGGAATTCGCTCCTGTGTGTGGCGGAGACCCAGGTTGTTCAGCAGCAAGTGTTGGCTGAACTAGTGGCAGGCCAGAAACGAATTCTGGCTGCATTACAGGCTCCTCGTCCAGTGATGAGGCAACCTCAGTTTGTTGTAGCTCCCCCTTCGGGTGCGGGTCCATCAGTGACGCCGTCGCCGATAGGGCCTTCATTCTCACCTATGTTTGGCATGCCCCCTTCAGGTGGTTATGTGACGACTAGTGGTCCGGTCCTTAGAGTCTCAGTCGTACCATCGACGATCCCATG